GCTTTAACCATTGAGGTAAAGAGAGTCTGTTTTGAAGATAAGAATGAGTAACTCCCTTTTCATGGCATCCATGTTAACACTCCCTCCAAGATAAGGTTCCCTTCCTAGACACCAGGGTCCTGCTGTCTCGCTGCCTATGTACTAAGTCTGACTCTCTTGAAACCTTGAAGGAATGCACCCTGTCATGTTGATGTGTGAGCTCTGTTTGGATGAGGTGTAAGAGGATGCTGGAAACCATGATTCAGCAGAGCAGTTCCTCAGAGCTCTCTGAGAGGTTGCCTTCCCAACTATAGCCCTCAGTTTGGTTCAAATTAAATTCTTTTCTATCCCTATGGTAGGTTCTTTATTGATTGCTTCTGTGGACACAGATTCATTTGATCATCAAGAACCCTGAAAAGGAGGGGCTGTAAAACCAGGGACCCAACTCTCAATCCTCCTCCTTCCCAGTTTTATTTACACAACTTGGCCTTGCACAATGTGCCTGTGGCCTGAGACACTCAATTGTGGGGAACCCCTAAGCCCAGCTCAGCACCAATTAGGAGTTTGTTGTTATTACATTCATTCACGAGGTCATATCCAACTCTGCAACTCCATGAACTGCAGCATGCCAGGCATCCCTGTCCTTCACTGTCTCCTGGAATTTGCTCAAACTGCTGTCCATTGAGTCGGTGATGTTGTCTAAATATTTCATCCTCTGCCACCCCTTCCTACTCCTGCCCTCGATCTTTCCCAGCATCAGGGTCTTTTCCAATGAGTCAGTTCTTCACATCAGGTGGCCAAAGTATTGTAGCTTCAGCATCAGCCCTTCCGATGAATATTCCAGTGCATGATTTTCTTTAGGATTGACTGGCTTGAATTTCTTGCTGTCTCTCAAGAGTGTCTCAAGGGTCTCTCAAGGGACTCTCAAGAGTATCCAGCACCCCAGTTCAAAATGACCAAAGTTCAGTTCTTTGGTGCTCAGCCTTCTTTATGGTCCAGTTGTCACATTCACATATGACTACCAGAAAAACCAAAGCTCAAAGATTAGATATAGCTTTAAATTCTCATTTTCCATTTCAATTAGTTTCACAAAACATTTTTTTTTCAAGTGAATACAGTTCATTCCCCTTGATATCATCCAAAAAATAAAATTTTCTCTGTTTTGGGGCACATAGCCTGGTGGGCTACAGTCCATGGGGTCGCAAAGAGTCGGACACGATTGAGCGACTTCACTTTAACTTTTCACTTTCAAAATATTACATGTACATGTGATTTTTTTATTATATATCTCGTCAAATATAATTGAACATTTTTTGCACTTCAGACACTGTTTCAGCTGCTGGGGAGAAAATGGTGGTCAAAAGTGTTGTGAGTTGAATGCGTTTCCCTGTTCTTAAATTCCTCTGTTGAAACCCTAACCCCCAGGACCACAGAATGTGACTGTATTTGGTGAGAGGGCCTTAAAGAGGTAACTAAATTTAAATGAGGTCATTAGGGTTGGCCCTAACTCAGTGTGACTGATAGCCTCATAAGAAGAGGTGATTAGAACACAGAGAGCATATAAAGAGACCAAGAGGTGGAGAGATTTAGCAAATAAAAATACAAGACACCTAAATGCAGTGAATTTCATAGAAACCGTGAACATTTAAAATATATATTTTAATACATAATCTTATATAGATACATATTTTATGCATTTAACTATACATATCTTACTATGTACAGATATATTCACATGTACACACACGTTTCACTTTTTACAAATACTGCATGTTTTACGAATTGATTTGTGACCACTGTGTTATCAGTTGATGTTTACCATGTTTTAGAAAAAAGTATTTTTAAATCAAGGTGTGTACTTTTTTAAAACAAAATGCTATTTCACACTGAGTAGAGTACAGCATAACGTAAGTTTTTTTAAACATGACTTTTATATGCATGGGGAAGCTAAAAAATTTGTGTATGACTCTTTTATTGCCAGTTTTTTAAAAATTGGGTCATCTGGACCCAACCAGCAATATTTCCAGGGTATACCCATATGGGTAATCGTATTTGATTAATGAATGAATCTCCAATTTGGGTCACATTACTTATTTTATTGGTTGCACTGTGCAGCTTGTGGGATCTTAGTTCCCCCATCTGGGACAGAACCTGCACACCCTATAGTGGAAAAATGGAGTCCTAATGACTAGACAACCAGGGAATTCCCCCATACCATTTAATAGTCATGAAAAAGCACCATTTTCTTTCCTGGAGAATTACCCACATTCTGGTTTTGGCTGATGGCATTTCAGTTGAAATGTGAATCTATCCTTTATACCAGCTGTGAGCTGGGAGTTGCTCTAGAGGCTTGATTATATTCTGATGCAGTTTGTCATCAAGACTATGTTCCAGGAAGTGTCTTATACTGCTTACCACAGCACATTGGGTAGCACAAAACCTGGGTGTCCCTCATCAGTAAGGGAAGAATGACAATCAGGTGATGTCAACCTCTTCCATCAAAGTTTCACCTGACAGTTTCAGTCCCCATTAATTTCAAAGCCAGTAATTTCATTCAAACTTGTAAGATAGTGATATCTCCAATTCTGTTCATCTTCCTTCATTTATTCTTTAATCCATCTGATAATTTTGCTGTTTAGTTTCTTGACTTCCATCCCCCTTTTACTCTACTTCAGTTGTTCATTCCCACAAACAACCCTCTATATCATTATCACCAACATCATGAAAGTCCATGATCTCAGTTTCAAGCATTCTGTTCTGCAGCAACCACTTTCCATCTTGTTTCTCCAGGTTCATTTTCCATCTTTAAGCTTCACCCAGCTGTAAGCATTCATCAACCAATTATTACTTCCCATCCCATTTCCTTCCCTCTAGCAACACAGGTGTCCTTGTTGTTTTTTCAATTAAGAACTTTTTCTCATCAACTCTGTTGTATAACTCTAACGTTCTACCACCGAAGAGTAAAGAGAAATGATCATTTGGACGATGTTACACTACATCTCAATAAGCTGGGGGAAGAGATTAAAATGAGCATTTCCCTTTATCATTATTCAATGATCTACTTTATCTGTTATTCTCTTTTTCTTAAACTCTACTTTGTTCTATAATAAGATAGCTGCCCTAGAATTCTTGTGTTTCTGTTTGTACAGAGTTTTTGTTCCCCTCCTTTTACTTCCAACTTATTTGTGTCTTAATGTTTAAAGTATAACCCTGGGCAGAAAACATACTTACCTACATTTCCTTCCCAGGTCACAATCTCTGCATTTTCAGTGGAAACAGACACAAGAAGGTGCTTCTTATACACCCATTAATATTTTAGTACTTTCTCTGGTTGATGGTTATTTTGTTGTACTTTCTTTGTGGAAATTCACCTTGAGGCTCACTTATGAAACATGTGCTTTTCTGAATATATATTTTGCTTTGAAAAGTTCACTTCGAAATTATTCAACAGTAAAGTCATTTTATCTGCTGGCAATAAGCACATAGCTGTAAATGCATTTCACCTTCAGGCTCCACAGAGGCTCAAAGTGCCACTTGAACCGGAAGAGACTTCTGAGTCTGGAGGGATTCCACACACTATCTATGTCCTGTGGTTAAGATGATTCATCACCAGGGATGTTTCTGTCAAGCATTTGGGGATTGGAGGCCAGTGGCTGTTGATCATTGTTCTCCCCCAGGCTGTGTCGGATCCCATATCCAAAGTATACAATAGATCCTAGTAGGGAAATGAAACAGTGAGAAGGGACAGTAGGAGCTCTCCTCATTTATGAAAACCCAGCAGATGTCCTAAGCCTTCTGTCGCATCTGACAGTTTAGGGGAGAGGTAGTAGGAAGACTGAATACTTGGGTTCAGTCACTCAAGGGGCCTCAGTTTCCAAGAAAGTCACTCACCAATCCCCATCCAGATGCCAAACTGGACCCAGGTCCTAGTGTTCATCTGCATCATCAAGGAAACATTCACAAAGATGCTCACCAGTGGGAGGATGGGCCAACAAAGGACCTGTGGGCAAAGTCAGTTCATCCATGAACACACCCCAGGCATCTGAAAGGGAGACCCTACTCCACATGGGCAGGAAGAGTCCAGTTCAACGCAGGCTGTGTGTTCAGTGCCTACTGAGATTGTGTGTGTAAAGCACTGAGTGTGGATCAGGAAAGGGTCAATTGGTTTTAGCAACTTCCCTTCTGGGAGCAACTCTTGATCCAGCCTACAGCATTTAGATGTCAGAGCAGGCAGCCTTCATTCCTCAAGGTGGAGAGCTTGTACACATAAGGTCACCTACCTTGCAGTGAAGAGGAGAGGGGCTCTGGGGCTGCCTGCAGATGATGGCCGTGACCCCAGTGATGAGCAGCAGCAGCACAGCCACTGTCATGTACACTGGGAGTCCAGAGAACACCTGGCTGGTCAACAGGGCCAGGATCAGGCTCAGGATGGTCAGCAGGAGAACTGCAGGGGTCAAGGTGGAGGGGAACAGGCTGGACTCCAGAAGACAAAGATGCCAGGACCTTGGGTCACACCCATCTCAAAACTGCCCACCTCAGGAAGGGCCATCTTCTCTCAAGATTCCTCCTCAACTGCCCAAAACACACCGCCCTCCCCATACTGCCAAATTTAGAATGTAGCCAAAGAGAATGGCTACAAGCAGGAAGGCACATCCATAGACAATCTGCCCAGGTTTCCGAGTGGGGATAGTGCTGGAAGGGAACCACAGAGTCTTCAGAATCCTTGAATTTTCTGCTTTAGGTACAGATTGTAAAGGGCTTGCTTCCAACTGAAAAATATCTATTTCCTCTTCTGCTGTCTCATTCTGGCTTAAATTCTGTTCTGGTTGATAACTGAATTAGAAAGATTAAGGCAGTATTAATAGTATCCCCTATTCATCCAACATCACCCAGATGATTCCATCTCTTTCCCAAATTAATGATCGTTGGTCATTTTGAAGGCAGCGTGAAGGCAGAAGAGGATCATCTTCACATCAATCCCCACCAGTCAGACCCCCAGTCTACATGTCGTGGGGTCTCACCTGAGGACAAGCACAGAAAAGGCCACCAAGGCGTAAGCGAGCAGGGTCCCAATTGACATGAGGTCCACAAGATCAGTGAGCTCAAAGAGTAGTGCCATGACTGCTAAAATCAGGGCACAAACAAAGTGGGGGGAGAGAGTGAGACCATGGAAATATGCAAGTTAAGAAAATTGATCAAAGAAGTTTCGTTTATTTACCTGCAAGACTTCCAGAAGCCAAGATGGTCCAGATGGCAGTTCGTGTGCGGGCATAGATTTGGGCAAGTCTCCTGAAAAGGAGCCCATCCTCTGCCATTGTGTAGATCACACGAGGCATAGAGAACATGGTGCCCAGGAGGCTGGGAGAGAAAGTGGACACGTGGGAGGAAGGGGAGAAGCAGGAGAGACTGGGGTTTCTGCTCCCTAGTCTACATGGGGTAACTGTCTTTCTCTTTTGTTTCTCTAACCGAGGCTACGATGGCTGATAATCTGACAGAGGATGGAGAAAAAGCTTTGATACTGACCTGGATGAAAGAGCACAGATGGTGATAGCAGCCAGGACATATCTTAGATGCCTCCACCCAACATCAAGGAAAGCCTGCGGCAGGAGGCTCTCAGGGTGAATCTGGTAATAGGGCACCAGGAGGGTGAGTGCCGCCGAGACACCAATATACATCAAAAAGCAGATCAAGATCGTGATCATGATGCTAATGGGGATGGAATGCTGAGGATTTCTGGCTTCTACCCCTGCAAGGTGGGGAGAGTATTAGGTCAGTAAACACACTGGAATGAAAGCACAAAACCCAATTTCCCCTTGCAGCTCCAAACACAGTCTAACCTTCTCCCAACCCCTGTGCCCAAGGGCAGCCCAGCCTGCCGAGACCCTTGATAAGATGACAAAAACCACTATAATACTGTAAATTAGCCTCCAACTAATAAAAATAAATGGGAAAAATAAGGTGCACAGTGACCCTGTTACCTGTAGTAGCAATGACATCAAAACTAACAAAGGCATAGATGCATGTTGCTGTTCCCTGGAGAATCCCAATGCCAAAAGGTATAAACCCTCCAGTACCCAGAGGTCCCAAGCTGTGATGAGAGAAGGAATGAGGAAGAACATGGGTGAGGTGAGTTCAGCCATCTCTACTTGTATCCTCAGTTAATATCACAACTCCTGGGCTCCACGACCTCACCATTGGATCCATCAGCCCCAATCTCTTTGGTCCCCACCATCTTCCCAGCTCTGCACATCACACACATAGACATTACTCAGCCAAGAGTACTCTCCTAACCTTGAGGTGTCAGTGGATTCAGATGTGTTCAATGTGTAGTCCTGTTCTGTGAGCTTCCAGTTGTGCAGGTCTCCCATAATGAAGCCAGAGATGATGATGAAGATGATACCAGAAATGTTCAAGCCTGCAAACACTTTGTTAAGCATGACTGATTCTTGAAGTCCCAGAACCAGTAGTCCTATGGAAAGATGGAATATGAAACATCCAAAATAACTAAATCCATAGACATACAAAGAAAATGAGTGGCTGCCATATGCTTGGGTTTACAGGTGGGTGAAAGGTAGACAGCGACTGCTCAGTGGGTACAGGGTTTCCTTCTGTAATGGTGAAGATGTTTGGAGCTGTATGGAGGAGATGGTTACACAACATTGTGAATGTACTAAGTGCCACTGAATGGTATACTTTAAGATGGCTAATTTCTTATTGTGGCGATCATCTCACAATAAGCACATTGATCAGTATCACTTTATACATCTGAAAATTATGTAATATTGTATCTCAATTAAGACAAGCTATGACAAACCTAGACAGCGCCTTAAAAAGCAGAGACATCACTTTGCCAACAAAGGTCTGTATAGTCAAAGTTGCGATTTCTCCAGTAGTTATGATGGATGTGAGAGTTGAATCATAAAGAAACCCAAGCATGGAAGAATTGATGCTTTCAAACTGTGGTGTTGGAGAAGACTCTTGAGAGACCCTTGGACAGCAAGGAGATCAAGCCAGTCAATCCTAAAGGAAATCAACCCTAAATGTTCATTGGAAGGACTGATGTTGAAGCTGAAGCTCCAATACTTTGGCCACCTGATGTGAAGAACAAACTCATTGGAAAAGATGCTAATGCTTGGAAAGACTGAAGGCAGGGGGAGACGGGGATGACCGAGAATAAGATGGTTGGATGGCATCATGAACTCAATGGACATGAGTTTGAGCAAACTCGGGGAGATAGTGAAGGACAGGGAAGCCTGGCATACTGCAGTTCACGGGGTTGCAAAGAGTTGGACATGACTTAGCAACAGAACAACAACAGTCTCAATTATATCTCAAGAAATCTGGGGGATATGGTAAAATGGTTAATTTTATTTTGTGTGAATTTCCACTCAAATAAACAAATATCTTTAGTCTCAGTACAAGGAAGAAACTTGTAGGCCTAAAGTAAATGATTATCAGGTGGGGATGATTTTGTCTCTGAAGAGACTCTTGGCAATATCTTGAGGCATTCTGGTTGTCATAATTTGGGTGACGGGCATTGCTGTTATCTAGTAAGTAAAGACCAGGGGTGCTAATCAATAGCTGACAATGAATGAAAAGAAAATTTACAATGAATAAGACAGCTTCCTCACATTGAAGAATGATTGCACCCAGAATGTCAGTAGTGCCAAGGGTGGAAAACAATGGTTTGTATCTTGACTTCTTGTCTCTCTTATCTCAGACAATTCATTCCAGTCCTAATTATCCCACCATTCTGGAACTCCAAGCCTTCTGCACCCCAGCTGCCCCTCCACACCCCACTCTTCCCATTCTGTCTCTGAACCCTGTCTCACCTGTGAGCAGCAGCACCAGGCCCAGGGCAAAAAAGTCTGGGTACCAGGCCAGGAAGTAGGGCATATATGGAGAGAAAGTTCCCTGGAATGCCTGAGAGATGTGGTTCCCAATGAGGCTGTCAAAGGCGAGGCTCCAGGCCCTGGCTTCATTGGCAGTGCCTGCAGCAGCAAAAGAACACTCACTGACAAAGAGAAATTGAACCCCGATCACGTACCATGGGATGTACTGGGGGCAAAAACAGACAAAATACCTAACTTACAAAGTTCCCTTTTATGGAGTGGAGAGGGTATACCCGTCCCAAACAGCGCTAATGGTAAAGAACCCTCCTGCTAATGCAAGAGACATAAGAGATGCAGGTTCAATCCCTGGGTTGGGAAGATCCTCGGTGGTAGGAAATGGCAACCCACTCCAGTGTTCTTGCCTGGGGAATCCCATGGACAGAGGAGTCTGGTGGGCTACAGTCCATGGGGTCACAAAGAGTTGGGCATTACTCAAGCAACTTGGCATGCAGAGTAGACCCAGATGATTCACAAAACAGGTCAACTACTTAAAATGTTCGGAGGAGATTAATGTGAGGCCAGAAACTGTAACAGGGAAGTGGGACCTAGAGGACCGGGAGGTGAGGGTGAAAATTTAAGTTGAATTGTAAACAAAAGTCCCACAAAGGAAACAGCAGAACAGAGACTTCAATATGGTGAGGGGAAGGGCCTGGGGGACATGCCTCCTTATCACCTACTCCTTTCAGTTCCTTTTCCTGCTCAGTTCTTGGTTCAGTCATTTAAGGAGAGAACTGACCTAACTAGAAGACAGTTATAAGGGTTTCCTGCCACAGTTACCCACGTCCCCCCACAAGGTGGATTAATGATGTTCTCATGAGTCAGTGACGACTTCAATCCCCGCTCTGAATTTCCTGATCTTAAGCCCCACACCTTCCCCCACCCCACCATCTCACTGACGACAAAGGACAGGATGAGGTTCCAGCCAATGATGAAGGCGCACAGCTGACCCATAGTGACGTAGCTGTAGAGATACGCAGAACCGGAGCGTGGTACCCAGGCCACCAACTCCACGTAGCAGAGCCCGGACAAAAGAGTCGACAGGCCGGCCAGCAAGAAGCAGATGACGATCGCTGGTCCAGCCTCATACGCAGCCACTTCTGCAACCACGATGTAGACGCCAGCTCCTAGGGTACCACTCACACCCAAGGCTGTTAGGTCTATGGTGTTCAGACAGCGGGCCCTGCCACTCTCAGACTCCTCCCTGGGCTCCAGCGGCCGCCTGCGGATCAACTTCTGGCCAAACTGGTGGACATCCTGACATAACATCCTAGAGAATTGATGAGGCTCAGATCTGCTGAGAAAACGACACAGCAAGCCTTCAAGAATGTCCACCCGCCCTTGGCCCTGGAAGTCCAGGTCCATGGAGTGACGGAGTGATGGGAACAGGTGACAAAAGGACATATTGAGCGAGTTCTCTCTCTATCTCTGAGATGTGGTTTTTTAAACCTAATAGCACTGAAACAAGTATACTATCAAGGGTGAAACAGATCACCAGCCCAGGTTGGATGCATGAGACAAGTGCTCGGGGCTGGTGCACTGGGAAGACCCAGAGGGATGGGGTGGAGAGGGAGGCGGGAGGGGGGATCGGGATGGGGAACACATGTAAATCCATGGCTGATTTATGTAAATGTATGGCAAAAACCACTACAATATTGTAAAGTAACTAGCCTCCAACTAATAAAAATAAATGGAAAAAAAAAGCTTAAGTAAATCTTTTAAGATGTTTCAAAGTTATGGAAAGAGTTGCTTGAAGAGAAGCGAGGGGGAGCCCTTATCTTAATGAAGTGTGATTTTATTCCTTCTATCTTCTTCACTGAAAACACACATCCTACTTTCCTGTTGTATGCTAAAATGCTTCTGTTATTATTTCTAGTAGCTTTACCTATATATTTCAAGTAGAATCCTCAGCTTTTAAAACCTGGAAAAGCTAAAACATAATTATTTCTAAAGTGTTCATTCAAAAACTTTTATCCTATACCAAGCCAATTTTCTTGCTAACAAATGTTGCAACATAAATTTAGTGACTTTCAGGCAATCCAGTTACAGTAAAAGTATTATTCTGAATATTGATGACTCTGAAGATATGTCTATATTAACAAACTTAAACTGACTTTAAGATCAGATATCAGTTTAACACTGAATATTTCCCAGAGTGTGTGAACCTGAAATTCATTTAGCTTCATTCTTGTATTTAGAATTATTTCCTTTCTTTTCTTTAAGCCAATTTAATAG